AAAATATCATCTACATTGACAAGAAGAAATATGCATAGTCTTTAGTCTTGTAGATAAGGAGTGAACGATCTGCAGTACTACGTGTAAGTGGAGAAAGTGGAATGCCATTGGTGTGGAGCTAATTTTAACCCATAGATTGCTTTTTGAGGTAGATAGAGGTGCTTTGGATTATAAGTATCCTGAAAGCCTTAGGATTGAACCTAGTGCATAATGTCATTTAAGGTGACATGTAGGAAGAAATTAGAAATAACCAACTATAATACAACTACGATTAAGAGAATGCAGATGATAGGAAATTTGGCCACTGCACTGAGGATTTCTTGGCAATCAATTCCCTTTTCCTGAATGAATCCTTGTGCTAGAAACCTTGCTTTGTAGTGAGCAATTGAGTCATTTTAAGATAATTTGGTTTGACATGTCTAATGATAGCCTAATATCTTTTAGTTTGGTAATGGGGGTACCAATTACCAGCTATCGAGTTGTTGTAAAGCCAAGAATTCTTCAACGATAATATTTTTTAGTTTGGTAATGGGGGTACCAATCACCAGCTATCGAGTTGTTGTAAAGCCAAGAATTCTTGAGAGATTGCTCTCCTCTAATATGATGATTTTATAGCTTGAGAGTAGCATGAGGGACCAAGTGATGGAAAATTATTGGTTTGATGATCCATAATCCATTTTGATTTGAGAGAGCTTATTTAAGACTGGATTATCATGAGATGTTTGATGGTATATTGAGAAGGATGTACTAGGCTGGTATAAGAGAAGATTTTGATTGAGAAGAGTAAGGATTTATTCATGAGGAGGCTGATGAGATGAGAGTCGTGTTGCTGATTGGTAATGTTGGAGGGGTTGAACTAGAGTGAGATGTTGATTGGGAGTTAGAGTGAGTAGTGACACAAAGAAGATGTTTGAGTTTTGTAGGTTTGCTGGTTGGATTGTTGAATTTGAGGATGAGTAAGAGAATGAGTTTTCATTGAATGTGACATGATAAGACCTGATTTTTCTAGTATATCTGTTATAATAATGATATTCATTATTTGAGTTGGAATAACCCATGACCCATGAGGACATAAGGTGGAGCTGTTGGTGCTAGCTTGTGTAGTGAAAGTGGTTTTTGCCTAAGTAAAGTCATCCAAGGTGTGTAAATGATTTTATGTAGGTGATGTATTCTATAGTGGCTCATATGAAGATTGCATATTTATTATTTTGATGGGCATTCAATTTATTCGATACAAAGAAGTGAGGATTGCGTCAACATAAAAATGAGATGCAAGCAATAGTTTTCTGGTGAGGTTCTTTTCCTTTCTTTTGAAGGCGACGTTTTGTCGTGGTGTATATGAACATGTTAAGTATTCCATGGGATTGAAGATGAGTATGTTTGAGGTTTTCTCCTCCAACGAATTAAAGTATCTTGATTATTTTATTGAATTAGGTTTCAATTATTTTGTGAAATTTTATGAGTTTAGTGGCAATCTCAAATTTTGCAAGCATTGGGAATATCCAACAAAAGTGCAAGTAATCGTCAATAAAGAGTAATTAGTGTGTGTATCCTTATAGTGATGTAATTGGGGTAGGTCCCCATACACTTGTATATACTTTAGCAACGAGTTATATAGAACAGTGGAGAGATACGTGGAGATAAATAGGAAATGAATGTCTATGACTCTTAGAAGAGTTACATGTATCACAAGAATTTTTTGTATAGATATGCCTAAAGAATTATTTTTCCTTGAAATGGCATCAATAGCTTCATGCTGGTGATGGCTTAGACGATGATGCTAGACATCTAAGGAGGATTTAAGAGGATGAGTAGCAGAGAGATCTATGATTGGATATAGTCTATTGTGTCTAGGTCCCTCTAGAATGAATTGACTTGTCTTCTGATCATTGATAGCAAAACTAGCCTCATTAAATGAAATATTGTAATTTTTATCAGTGACCAGTTAACAAAATAAGAATAGAATGTGGGATAGTTTGGGAGCATGTAAAAGACAAGTGAGATTGAGCTTACGTTGAGGAGTTAGGAGCAAGCCTTGACCAGTGTGAATAATGGGAATGGATGAACCATTTCCAATTATAACTTGTTCATATGTTTGATAAGGAGTTGGTTGCTATAAGTTCTCATAGTTGGAAGTTTGTTGAGATGAGGCCTCAATATCAAAGATCAATTATGCCATTTTGGTGAAGGTTGCTATTATTAAGGCAGTTTTAGATGTTAGTGAGTGAGATGGATAGGAATTAAAATTGGTCTAGTGCCAACATAAAAATGTTGTGTGATAATTTTTTTCGTAAATATGATAGGAAATGAAGTTAGTAGTTGTTCGACCTTCCCTTTTGTTGATGGTTTGAGCTCCTCCTTAACTTTTATAGATGTTGAGTTTCTTCATCTTTTTCTGTCAAAGGTTTTTGTACCCATGTTGATGTGGTTAAGAGAGCCATATTCATGGTAGAGTTATCCTTGGAGAATATTACAACATTGAAACAACCATCTCAGTTTATAGGCTTAGTTCTTGTTATGATTGTTGTTTCGAAGAATTGATAAAAGGGTGGGAGGTTGTTGAGGACGTATAAACTGATGTCTTCATTGTCTATGTCCTCCTTCAAGGTCAATATTAAGCAAACGGGATTTGAACTGAAAAAAGTTATGGAACTTGGTGGAATATTTCATAGAGATATGGCGTCCATTTTCCAATAGGATAAATCTGAAATGGTTTTAGGACTGTAATCTTTTGGATAATATATTCCATATAACTATTGTGGATTGCAGGTTGAGAATGTGAGGTAGAACAGAGGCTGAGATGATAGAGTAGATGTCAGCTAAAAGATTTTGGTCTATATGTTGCCATATAGAGAATTGATGATTTGAGATTTGGTTTCATCAACATCTGTGAGATGAGGTGGTGGACAAGCAATTGAGCCATCTAAGCAACCATCAAATTCATTTGACTTAAATAATTTGAGAGGTTGAGAATTCCATGTAGGAAAGTTTTCTGTTAATATTTGGGTTATGGCTTTAGTTTTGATGTTTGACAATAGAAAATTCAGAGAAGAGGTATTTGAATTTCAGTCATAGTGAGAGAAACAGATACTGGAGTTTCAATTGTGCTGATATGAGAAAATGATGTAGACATTTCTACAATTTAGGATAGCTAGGATTCTTTCTGCTCTGATACCATGTAAACTAGCTAAATTCAAATTTGAAAAGAGAAGCTATATGTGAACTTCTATAAATGTTGAATTATGTGTCAGTTCATTACATGATAAGTGTGTAAGATGGTTGTGTATTTACATAGCTAGCATCTAAAATTTCATATTTACATTCATTAACACTCCCGTGTTATAACCCTATGCATGAAAAAGTTTATTTCTATTTAAAAATTTAATAATAATGATATTTTTGATGTGATGTTAATCATTTGAGTGATAAACATGCAAACATCAAAGTTCAGGTGTGACATGTAAATATAAATGAATTGTGTGCTATGACTGTAACCCCAACTTTTTTGTTTCTTTTATTTCACTTGTGTAGGGTGAGAACTCGATTCAACCCTTTAAAATACTTCACTTTGTTTCGAACCAATATGCTATAGTTCGAGCATGCATCACCGCACCTCAAATTAGAAATTTTATTACCAACATCTGATGGTTCCCTCATGTATTAAAAACTCCATAATAAAGCCAAAATATGCAAATTTACTCAACTCAATGTAAAGCATAGAAAAATGGCTATGAGAATTAAAGACAATGGCAAATTCATTTTAAGAGTAACACAGCCAAATAAAAAACTTATCTGATAATATAACGGCCACACATAATAAGGCCATCAAGCTCAAAGTAGCAAACACAGATATAAAGAAGGAAGAAGGCAACTAAATAAAGTAGCCAAGAAAGCTTTCCAAAGATAAAAATTTAAAAAAAGCCTAATTTTGAGAATGCAGAAATTATTGTACCATCACAACCAACTTACTTGAAATTAGGATCATTTGCATACATAACAACTTTACTTTGTACATTTATATTACCCAAATCTTTCATATCACATCTAAAATAAAACTATTTTAAATTTTAAGAAATAAAATACAACTTTTCATGCATAGTTAAGGTGACATGTGTAAAAATTGAAGTTTAGATGTTAGATATATAAACACAAAAAAAATTTAGTGATGTGTATGTAAAAATACCATAACGCTAAGAGAAAAAGGGCAGCAAAAAGCAAATCCCGCACCAGTCGTGACCTTGCACAATATTAAAAGAATCGCAAACATCTAAAGCTTTTAAATTCTAGTAAAAATGCATATATCAAATTATTGCATAACTTTGAGATTCAAATAAATATGCATTTATTCATCAGTGATGAATGTAAAATGTCGTAAAAAAAAGATTTATCTAATGAAGTATGAAAATATTGTACACATCGATGATCATGCTAATAAGAAAAGTTCGATCCCTTGTGGTACTGGTTGGGCACGCCAATGTGCCCGCACACGTATATGTTTTTCCCATCACCTCAGACAATTATGACAGACAATTGTGAAATTTAGATCACAAGTCCTTGTGCCTACGGGAGTGTATCAGCCAAGGTTGAGTGGGCACTCTTACCACCTCAGACAATTGTATAATCTGACCTTTGCACCGAAAAGAAAGTATCGACCAGAGGTGAATAGACATATTTCCACCTTAAATAATCATGTAAATTAGTTCACAAACCGCAGTGCTATCAAGATTATATCGATTAGAAGTGTATTAGGTTATATTTGAACGGCGTTTTTGAGAGAGAGATGAGTATTAAGAATATAAAATTAAAATAAAGTTAAAGATTAAATATTGAAAAGTAAAGTTAAAGATAATG